AGTCGTGAACATATTCTCCTTATCACCACATACAATGTTTCTAGTTTTGCTTTGATAATCAGGTCTGTAAGCAACCTGACTCCGACTTTTTGTTTTAATCCAAAAGGTTACCTCAGGATTCTTTCCCCACTGTTCTGTGGGGACAGTGCTGCCTGTCAAAGACCGACTGTCTATAAAGCATGTATTTTCTTGAGCTTTCTTTTCTCTTTCACTCATTTGTTAAACCATCCCAGCCCCAGCTCCATGCTACTGAACTACTGGGAGCTTCACCTAAAGCCCTGCTATCTAGTAGAGCAGGTCCTCCCACATGGCTCTCAGGAACGGACTTACTCGGCTATGGCATTAGGTCTTTACAAACACATCCCCACTTGAATTTATTATATAAGCACTTCTTTTCTTTTGTCTTTGTTAGGGTTAAAGTTTCATCCACTTTATTGTTTTTTATTCAAAGAAACATTCTACAAGTTCTCAGTTTTTTTAGTTTATTAACTTTTAATTGCACTTTCAAGTTCTTCTGCTTTCATTAGTACATTCCTTAGTGCTCTTGCGTAATTTATTAATATAAATATAAGACTACACATTTACCTCTGTTCACTCATTTTGCTATAGCCTATGGTTTCTAATATGCACCTTCTTTTTTTATCTTGTAAATCTCATACAATTTTAGTTTCGGTTTCCTATCTCAGACATTGTTTAAAGGAGGTAATTTTTAAAATTTCCATGTTGAAAGAGTGTTTTTGTTTACCCATTTTATCATTAATTTCTAGATTTACCAAATTGTGTTGAGGGAATGTTATTTGTGGTGACTCTAATTTGTTGGATTTATTGGTGCTCTCTTTTTAGATTAACACTATTATTTTCACAATTTTAAGATTCTTCCATGGGACCATGGAAGGCTTACTCTTTGATTTCAGCATATACACGCACAAATACATGATTCACTTTAGTACAAATATCACGTATATCCTAGACAGGCATAATACTTCTTTAATGTCCACAGTACCTATTATTTAATAAGATGCAGTGTTTTATGACCTCCTGATCCTAGTGAATCATTAAGTTCCTAGAACTTCCTTATTTTGTGTGCTAAGATCCTTGATATCATATTGTTTGGTGCAGTCATTCAAATGCTTAAAGGTTTACTTCAGCTGTGCTCTTGAGCTAGAGGATCTTTATTAATGTATTTACTGCCAAAATTCAAACCTGAATAATAACGGAACACGAAACCCTGAATTATTCTATTTTTACTGACTTAATAACTTTACTATTCTTTTATTACAAACTTCCTAAGATCCTTATTTCGGGATATCTTCTTTAGCCAATCAATATGATCCAATCATTTGCACTTAGCAATTGGGAGATACACCCGACCTAAATTACGTCAACCTGTTACATTATGCTATCTGTTTACATGGCTTCACAACAAAACTTTCAGTAAACACAATGACTTCAGACGATTTTACTTTTTTGCTCTAGGAATTATATTGAACCTATAACTTCTCAAATTCCTGGAATTATTAGTTTAGACAAAGGCTAATAAGTAATAAGCACATGAAAAGATGCCCGACATCATTCGTGATCAGGGAAATTGTTACAGACTGAATCGTGTCTCCCCCCAGATCCATATGGTGAAGCCCTAGCCCCCAGTGTACCTGTACTTGGAGATAAGATCTTTAGGGAGGTAATTAAGATTAAATGAAGTCACGAGGGTGGGGCCCTAATTCTATAGGACTGGTGTCCTTATAAGAAGAGGAAGAGAGATGAGAGCTGTCTCTCCCCACACATGCACAGAGGAAAGGCCAGTGAGGACACAGTGAGAAGGCAGCCAGGAAGAGAGGCCTCACCAGAAATCAACCCTGCTGGTACCTTCATCTTGGACTTCCAGCCTCCAGAACCGTGAGAAATAAATTTCTGTTGTTTAAGTCACCCAGGCTACGGTATTTTGTTATGCCAGTCCAGCTAACTAAAACCGAAATGCAAATCAAAACCTCAGTGATAAGCCACTTCACATCCTCTAGGACGGCAAGAATCAAAAAGTCATACAATCACAAGTGTTGGTGAAGACGTGGAGAAATCAGAACCCTCCTACGCCGTCATCAGGAATGTAAAATGGTGCAGTCACTTTGGAAAATGGTCTGGCAGTTCCTCAAACAGAGTATCCATATAACTCAGCAATTCCACTCCTAGATAGAAACTCAAGAGCAATAAAAGCACACGTCCATGCAAAAATTTGTAAATGAATGTGTATATCAGCATTACTCAATGACAGCCCAAAGGTGGAATCCCAAATGTCCACTGACTGATGAATGGACACACAAATGTGATACATCCACACAAGGAAATATTATTTTGCCATAAAAAGGATGAAGTACTGATACATGCCACAACAGGAACCTTAATCCTAAGTGAAAGAAACCAATCACAAAAGACCCTACATAATGTTGTGATTCCACTGATATGAAATGTCCAGATTAGGCAAATCTATAGAGACAGAAAGTGACTAGTGGTTGCCAGGGCTGGAGGGGACTGGGGGATAGGGAGGTGATAGGTAAAGGGTATGGGGTTTCTTTTTGCGGTGATGAAAATTGACTGTGGTGATGTTTACACCTAGCTGTGAATAATATTAAAAGCCACTGAATTGTGTACTTTAGATGGGTGACATGTATGGCATGCAAATTCTATCTCAATAAAGCTGTGTAAAAGGGGGAAAAAAAAAAAACTTTCGAAAGTGTTCCCCTCTAAGGTCTAACTACCCCAGGTGTTTCTGTCAGGGCTCACTCACCTGGGTACCTCTGGTTTAGGAATTCTTCCTCTAAGGACCAGGGCTCTTCTCCTTGCTCCAACTTGAAAATCACCCGGGGTTTAGTACTGCAGTATCCTGTGAACATAACAATTGAGGGTATATCCAGACCAGATCCATGGGCCTTTGGGTTTCCAAAGGTGGAGAAAGAGACGGTGGCAAGAGCAGCGAAATGAAGGTGCTCATTTGAAGTTTTCAACGCGGAAGTAATGACACAAACATTGTTTCTGTTTCTCTAAAGGTTTCAGTTTCCTTCAACCTCTTAATAAGAAGCCTGAACAACACTAATCTCTAGTGAGGGTTCACGCGTGGTGATTTCAAAAAAAGGAAATGTAATCCAGAGGGAGTCACATGGTAAGGGCTGCTCACCCATGGAGACCAGGTGGCCGTAGTTCTCCAGCATCACATCTTTGTACAGGGCCCTCTGTGTGGAGTCCATCTGCCGCCACTCCTCCTGGGTGAACTCCACAGTCACGTCTTCGAACGACACCAATCCCTATAACAGCACATTTTGTGCAAAGGTTCAGAATTACGTGACAAAGAAAAGACCTTTGAGAACCACTACCATTCCTATTTACTCTTAAGGCTCTAAAACAAATGGCTACAAAAGATGCCAATTTTTGACCTAATTTTGTCGCCAACTTCAAATTGCTCAACTAGTTAAAAAGGTTTTTAACTAACCATAATTCATTTACACATATTTATGAATTATAGGGGTTTGTTACAGAAAAAAATTCAATGTAAAGCGACTTCCTACAACTCTTCCACATCCCAAGGAATTGCCCTGGGTATTCTAGAGACTTCTAGGATAGTCAGTCTCTCCTTGGACATTATCACTGCAAATAATGGGGGCCAAGGAAGAGATCTATGTAAGTTGTGGAGACATTATACATGACCAAACTTATGTATAAGTAAATGTATAAAGATAAATAAATCTAGAGCTCATGAAGAACGAAGAACAACTTACCAAGGAGTTGAAATCAAAGAGACCAGTAGAAGAGAACACTATCTACACTGACGGGACAGGAATGGATATAAGGATAGGGGTATAATCACAGAGCAGAAGCAACAACCAGTTTGATGACTACTTTCTTGTGGAGCTACCCAGTCTAACTGCACGAGCAGCTCCTTGAATGCTGGTGCCAAACACCGATATTTGGGAAACAAAAGGAAAAAAATGTGTTAGAAGTCATCGTGAGACGGATCTGCTGAGGTTGCTACTGAAAGGTCTATGGAACATAATATTGGAAATGCCCCTTAAACTAGTATACATATGGTTTTAGAACACAGAAAGGAAGGTCTAGGATGAAGACAAGCATTTAGGAATTACTAGCAATTTAGGTGGGAACTCAAGTTATCAGAGGCAATCAGACAGCAACTTGAGCACATGGGGACCGAGGAAAGAAAAGCACCAAAAACAGAATTTGAGGAGCCACGAATATTAAAGAGGCTGGCAGAAAAAGTACAGGCCATAAAGCCAGAGAGGATGTTTTCTGAAAAGTAACAACAGGATCGGGAGAGGGAGGAGTCCTTGAAACTGAGCAAAGGGAAAGTTTCCACAACCAAAGGCTTCAAAGGGGCTGGGAGGAGGAGGAAATGGGGAGTCGCTGTCCAACAGGTACCCACCTTCAGTTTTGGCTATGCAAGGTCATTAAGTTCCAGAGATCTGCTGCACAAATGATGCCTACAGTTAACCATACTATCATGCACACATAAAATTCTGAACAATTTGCAAGAGGGCAGATCTCATGTTAAGTGTTCTTTTCACAATTAAAAATAAAAAGAAAGCAAGTAGACCAAGAGAAAAGAGGACAGAAACAAGCTTTTTTCCCTGGTGCTGTGTACCCAATTGTCTGTTCATTCACGTCTTCAGTGCTACTGAGCGAGTACCTCCTCTGCGTGAAGCTCAGCGCTCGTAGCTGGTAACCAAAACAAATGAACAAAAGAACAGGAGTACCTCTCACTAAATTTATCTTAATCTGAAAAACGTAAAGAAAAGTTAACTATATTTTCAAAAACTAAAAAATTAGTGGGAAAAGTGGCATTGTTTTCATTCGTGCCAATGTCTTTCACATCTGGCTTAATAAAAATCAGCTGGATTAAAAAATATTAAGCTAACAAGTGACCTAAGTGAAAATGGTGAGGTAAGGATCCAAGAAAATTCTCTCTTTCATAAAAGCGATAAACAAACTGGCAAAAATTGTAGAAGTTAACAAAAGCAACCTACGGGACATGTATTCAAGGAAAACAGCTGAATCAGAGTAAAAACAGTGATAGAGGATCCTTTTCACTGACCCTATTCCCATCCCTTGCTCTCCAACTCTGTGGTGGTTTGAGAACCAACAATCTGCCATCACAGTTAAAACCAGCAGCCTGGCAACTACTGGAGGGAGAAGAGCTGGGGTGAGGTTCCCTCAAAGCCCCACTCCCAGAAAACTCATTATTTGGCCTGTTTGGTGATTCCTTGAAAGACCCCACTTGCAAAGGTGTCTTTACTTGAGCTCACTCAGAGCTCACAGAGAATGAAAAGCCATATGCTCAGAGGCATTTGTCAAAAACATCTGAAGGCACTTGTTTAACTTAGTGGCTATCTGAGGAGGTAGATAACAGTTGGGGCAAACAATACCCTAATCAAAAAGCTTAAAAGGAAAAGCTGGGGAATGAGATGTCCACACAGATTTTTAAAAGCTCCAATATATTCCTGAGAATCTAGAAGGCCACATTCATGTGGAGAGCTGTGCATATGCCCAGGGCTGTGAGCATGCTCAGGAAAGATGTGAGAAGGCACTACGCTGTCACCTCTAACTGACCTTGAGGTTTGGGCTAAGAAGGGAGTGAAGGCCAGCACAGAGTCGTAAACTGCCTGCCTGACTGCTGCAGGAATGCCCTCACACGCACAGAGCCCCTTAGCAAAGACCTGGAGACTTACCGGTTCCTGGCATTTAAGGACAGGGACTCCAACTGCCACAGATCACAAGAAACACAGGCTCTAGGGCATTAGCTCAAAAACAGTCAGTGAACAAATAAATTTCAACAGTGACCCCCACGGAGGGGAGAAATTCTGATTTCTAGACTTGCTGCATTGTTGCACTTAAAATGTCCAATCATCAACAAAAGATTGCTAAACAAAGAAAGAAACAAGAAAGTAAGACCCTTATGTAGGAAAAAGTGTAATCAACAGAAATCGATTCCTGCATCTGAGGAAGCAGATGTTGGACTTACTGGGCAATGACTTTAAATCAGCTATTTTAAATATCATCAAAGACCTAGAGAAAACAATGTCTAAGGACTCAAAGAAAGTATGAGAACAATATTTCACTAAATAAAGAGTATCAATAAAGAGATAGAAATTATAAAAAGGAACCAAATAGAAACTTAAAGAGTTGAAAAGTACAACTGAAACAAAACTTTCATTAGAGGGATTCAAGAGCAGATTTCAGCAGGTGGAAGAGAATGAATGGACATATGTCCACTGAAATTACAGAGTGAGAAACAGAAAGAAAAAATAACTGCAAAAAATGAACTAGGAGACGGTCCCAAGTCTACAAACGTACGTGTAATGAGAGTCCCAGACAGAGAGGAAAGAAAAGGTCTGAAAGAATATTTGAAGAAATAATCAACAAGAAGTCTCCAAGTTTGATGGAAAACATTAATCTACACATCCAAGAAACTCAACAATCTTCAAGTAGGATAAACTTGGAGTAAGAGATCCACACATGGACACAGGATTAATCAAACTACCAGACGAGAAAAAGGCACAATCTTGAAAGCAGCAAGAAAGAAGTGACTCATCCTGTACAATAGTATGATTGTACAAGCTGACTACTAACCAGAAACCATGGAGGACAGAAGGCAGTGGGACGACAACACAGTCAAAATGCTAAAAGAAAAAGGTTGTCAATCAAGAATTCTACACCCAGCAAAAGCGGAAAAATTAAAACCTTCCCGGATAAACAGAATTTGTCACAGGCAAAACTGCCCTATGAGGAGTAATACAGGAACTGGTTCAGCAAATCTACAGAGACAGAAAGTCGAGGGGCCTGGGGGTGAATGGAATGATGGGAGAAGATAAAGTGTACAGACTTGCTTTTTAAGTTGATGAAAATGTTCTAAAATCCACTGTGGTGCCGTTTGTACATATCTACGGGTACACTAAAAAAATCATTGAATTCTACATTTTAAATGGGTGAATGGCATGGTATGTGAGCGGAATCTCAATAAAGCTGTTTAAAGAAAAAAATGAGAGAAAATGAAATCATTCCAAGACAACAGACGAGATTAAAGGGCCAAAGAGGGAAACTGGGGATGAGCCATGTGCAAGGACAAGGGAAAGACGACGACTCCATGAAGATATCAGCAGGAGAAGGACAGAGCCAGTGGAAGGTGTCACAGACACTCACAGAGACACTTTCCAGAAGGACAGAGTGAGAAGTAGAGGCAAGTGCTACAGAAAAGTCAAGTAAGCAAAGGATCAGGCAAGACCCAATGGATTTGATCATAATCGAGTCTCTGGTCACTGGAGATCACAGGTAAGTGGGGAGAGAGACCAAGGCCTCATGAAAAGGTTTAGAGCGTGACTGAAAGTGTTGAAACACTTGAAGGAGAACAGAATTTTAAACTGTCTGCTGGGCTGACCGTTTTAAACTGTCCTGAAAATCACGGGTACTCGAAATATTTATGGAGAGTAATCTTAAGGATAGTCAGTTGGTCCATCAGAAAAATGTCTCCTGCAATCCCTGTGTTGGAGTTTGTGAAAAACAGTACTGACTGAGCTCACTTCAGCGTTACCTCTTCTACCTTTACTGAAGCACAAGTGGAGGCAACGTCCTATGTTATCTTAGGGTTACTACTGGAAGCTGTTAACTAAATCACGTAGTTGAAAACAACAAAGATATTCTTCACCTTCAATTGTCTTTATAGTCTATGAGGAATCAGTTTGCTTTACCTTCTCACCAACGTTAACCTTGAAAGAAATATCACGCCTGATACCCTGCCACGGCTATCACAAACCTCAGAAATAAACCTGGAACTCCAACGTAGTACATCTGCAATGTCAGAGGACCTGCATGTACCCACCTGCCACCTTTGCTCTGCTCTTCAACTGTATTTCTGTGTCTTCTCTGAATGCATCTGATCCATTTCTATTTCTACTCTTCCATGTTGACGGAGAGACACGTAAGCCCTTATAAAATCCCTTGTAACACAAGCAAGCTATTAAAAACTGAACTCACCTGAGCTATGTTCATTTTCTGCTACTCCTGGAAGAAGGTAAAGAACTGTGAAGGTTCAGCTGGGGAGGAGGAAAGAGAAATGGGGTCATGAGAAACCTGGTCAGCCCTACAACTCCTACACTCACCTGCCTAAAACTCCCCTTATACCAGCTGGAGACAAGCCTTCCCTATGGGAAAACAGCCCTTGCACACGCTGGAGAAGGGAGAGGAAGGGACACAGAGGGAGCACCACCTGAACGTGCGCACCTCGGATATGACTCTCTGGGCTTAACCTTGCATTTTCACTGAGTAAGGTACACTGCTTTTTCTTGATGAGTTAACGTCTATCCTCTTCTGACTAATTAGCAGTAGCAGCAGCAGCAGCAGCAGCAGCAGCATGAAACAGAGGAATAAACAAATTCAGCAACACCGGGGGGGGGGGGGGGGAACCCTCTACCTTCATTAAAACTAACGTTGTCCAAAACAACTACTCAGGCTGGATTATTAACCAAGTTCTTGTCTTTACACCTTGAGTTAGAGCTTCACAGAAAACTCCGAGATAAAAACGGATGCTTCATACAAGAAATAAATTTCTTGCAACTTTCTGTTCTCAATTGGTTGCAGTTCCTAAAAAAGATCTTCGGATCAGATGCTTACAGTACTCACCCGTGTAAGTCAACAGCTGTGCGCTTAGTTCCTGGGTCTGCCCTGGGTGACTCGACAAACCCCGTTCATTACAGGCCTGCTGTCTTTGGGCTTCCGAAAGCGTCCAGCACAGAAAACCCCTCTCCTCCCATTTCGTTTTTCTCTATGCTCAGGAAAGAGGCAGCATCGGCATCACTCATAGATGCCACACGTGGTGAGGAACAGGCGCGACAGCAGCTCAGAATCCGCAGGGGGCGCGGGGAGAACGGAGGAGACAGGGGACTGCTTGGGGTCCCGCCCGCGCTCGCGGGTTAGCCTTCCCCGGACGCCACGTCCCCACCAGCCGTCAGCGACCCGCCCGCTCCTGCGCAGCCTCACAGTCCCCCATCCCCGCCACCCCAGGCCGCCGCCTTCCGCAGGCGGGTCCACAGCGTCCACCGCACACAGGCCGGGCCGGCTTCCGGGCGCGGGGACCTCCTCGAGCCCGCCTCACGCCACACAGGGACCCACAACTGCTTCTGACCGGGCGCCTCGGGCCCGCGCGTGCCTGGAACCTTCCGCCTCCGCTCCGAAGCCCCGCAGGGCTCCGTCAGCAAGGCCGCTCTGCCCAGAGGCAGCTGTCCCCGCGGCCCCCTCGCCCCTGCCGTGAGAGAGCTCCTTTGCTCCCGAGGGGCTGGGACCCGGGGCGCGGAGCCAGTGCCCTTTATCCCAAGCGTCACCCAGCGCTCCACGCCCGGCTCCTCCGGAACTCGCCAGAAACGTCCTGGGCGGCCACGCGGCCGTCAGCCGCCCGCGACCACCGGCCCTGCCGCCGGCTAGGGCCACAGGGCGAGGCGCCTCCGGAGGCCCCGAAGCGAGGCAGCGGCAACGCCGATTCGCCGCCTTCCACCGCCCGCGGCTCCGGACAGACGCCGAGCTCCCTTCCGGCTGCCTCAGCCCCGCCCCGGCCCGAGCCCCGCGCCGCGAGCCCCGTCCGCGCCCACCGCGCGGGCCCCGCAGGCCGCCGCCGCCGCAGGTGTGCGCGCGGAGGACGCGAGCTCTCGAGAGCGACGCCCACGGCGGCGAAGCGGCCCGAGGCGCCGCCCCCAGCCCGCGCCCCGGGGCCGCCGGGGACGCGGGGCTAGGGGAGGGCAGGGCCCGGTGGCGCCTCCGGGGCACCCCGCTCCCGTCCCCGGACGCGAGCCTAGCCGGCCCGGCAGGCCCCCAGCCGCGCGGAGGCCCGTCCCCAGCGATCTCACCCCGAGCGGCAGCCTCCGCTCCCGCCTACACCTACAGACGTCCGGACGCTGGCCCTCTCGCGCCCGGGGAGGCGGGGGAGGGCGGGGCGGCGCTGGGTGTGCGCGTGCGCAGAGTGAGCGCCGAGGACCCTTCCCAGACTGCTGCGCGGAGGGCCCGCACCATCCAAGACTACATTTCCCATAAGACCCTGACACAGCAGCAAGTGGTTTGGGAAGCGTTACTGCTGCTTTCGCGAGTTGGAAGACGTGACGATTGGACCTTGCTGCTGGAGATTTTTCCTGAATCCTAGAGGTTGTGGGTTAGACTTTTGCTTTACGACATTTATGACAAAGCGTGGTTCTCGATCGGATCCTGGTTGTAAAAAACAACAGCTGCAAGGAGGCAGTTGGAGAGATATGAACATGGACTAGCTATGGAAATATTAAGGGTTATTATATATACGCAAGCAATATTATACATATATGGTTAATGGTTAATATATATAATCAGCATTACTTTGATTAGTGATAATATTTGGACGAGGTACGAAATTGTTATGTTTTACACATGCATACTGAAACATTTACGATTATGAAATCATATATTTGGAATTTACTTTTTAAAACTTCAGCAAACGAATTAGAGATAGCAAATATGGCCAAGGGTTAAGAATCATTAAATCTCTGTAATACGTGTGTATAATGCTCATTTTACTCTTTCTGCTATTCTGAGGTTTTGAAGACGTGGAGGTGGGTGCGGGGAGGAGACGGGGGGTACGTTAGGGAGTTTCCCGTCCCTCCAGAAGTGCACCTTTTAAAGTCGAGCTGCCAGGAGAAGCAAGGGTACACCCAAGTGTCCCTTAGGGTTACGGCTGTGAGGTAGAACAAATAGTAGAAAATGGATGGAGCCAACATTAATGAAAAAGAGTAACACCTGTGACCCGCAGGGTTTATGGGGGCGGGGAGTTGAGGGGGAAGAGAGAATACGCCAGCTGTTCAAAATTGCACAAGTAATACGTGAAAACACATACACCCCAAAATAAGAAAATTATTATATCACTTTTGCATTTCCATGAGTAAACCGTTTTTGAAAATTAATGTGTGCACACTTCAGACTTTTCACAAATTAGAGACATAGGGGCGCAATAACAATTTTTTTCTAGTAGGCTTTTTTAGAGCAGTTTTAGGCCTACAGAATGAGCAGAAAGCACAAAAAGAGTTCCCATAGACCCCCTCTCACCACCCCACACGCAGTTTCTCCTATTAACATCTTACATTAGTGTGGTACATTTTGTACACTTAACAAATGATCCATTGTTCCTAGCTAAAGTCCGTAGTTTACATTACCGGTCGCTCTTTGCGTTGTATAGTTTTATGGGTTTTGCCACATGGATCATGTCATCTGGTGTAATATCCGTCATTATAGTGGTGTAAAATGCACCATTGCATTATTGTACAGAATAGTTTTACTACCCTAAAAATCTCCTGTGCTCTGTCTATTCCACCTCTCCCTTCTTGTTTTCTCCTCCTGGACTCCTGGCAGCCACTCATCTTTTTACTGTCTCAATAGCTTTACCTTTTCCAGAATGTGGTATAGTAAGTAGCTTTTTTAGACTGGCTTCTTTCACTTAGAATACGCGTTTAAGCTTTCTCCATGTCCTTTTGTGGCTTGATAGCTCACTTCTTTTTATCACTGAATAATATTCCATTGTATGGATGTACACAGTTTGTTTATCCACTCATCTATTGAAAGACATCTTGCTTGATTCTGAGTGTTTGCAATTATGGATAAAACTACTATAAACATTTTTTTGTGTGCAGACTTTTGTATTGACGTGTCTTCTTCTTCTTTTTTAAAAAAGATTGGCCCTGAGCTACCGTCTGTTGTGAATGTTTTTTTTTTTTTTATCTTCTTCTCTGCAAAGTCCCCCAGTACGTAGTTGTATATTCTAGTCGTGGGTCCTTCTAGTTCTGCTATGAGCAGTTCTAGGTCTGCGTCCAGGATCCGAACCGGCGAAACCCCGGGCTGCCGAAGCGGAGTGCGCAAACTTAGCCACTCACACTTAACCACTCACAGCCGGGCTGGCCCCGACAGAAGTTTTCAAATCAACTGAGTAAATACCAAGGAGTGCAATTGCTGGATTGTATAGTGGAGACTGTGGTTAGCTTTATAAGAAACTGCCAAACTGTCTTCCAGAAGTGGATGTATCATTTTGCATTTTCACCAGCGATGAATGACAGTTCTCATTGCTCCATGTCCTCACCAGCATTAGGTGTTGTCAGTATTTTGGATTTTGGCCATTCTAATAGGTGTGTAGTGGTATCTCATAATTTGCGATTCTGTAATGATATCTGATGCTGGACTTCTTTTCATATGCCTAACTGCCATAAGTATATCTTCTTTTGTGAGGTGTCTAACTCTTTCACCCATTTTTTATTGGGTTGTTAATTTTCTTATTGTTGAGTTTTAAGAGTTACTTATATATTTTGGATAAAATTCCTCTACCAGATGTCTTTTACAAATATTTTCTCTCAGTCTGTGGCTTGTCTTTTCATTTTCTTGATATTCATTCAGAAAGCAGTTTTTACTTTTAATGAATTCAAACTGATCAATTTGTTCATTCTTGGATTGTGCTTCTGGTGTTACCTAAAAACTCATTGCCAAACTCAAGGTCACCTAGATTTCCTTCTGTGTTATCTCCTAGAAGTTTTATACTTTTGCTTCATATTTTTCAGTTTATGATCCACTTTGAGTTGATATTTGTGAGAAGTAGAAGGTCTGTGTCTACCTTTATTTTTTTCCATGTGGCTGTTCAGTTTTTCTAGCACCATTGTTAAAAAGACTATCTTTTCTTCATTGCGTTGTCTTTGCTCCTTTGTCAAAGATCATTTGACAATATTTGTGGGCTCTCTATTCTGTTCCATTAATGTTTTTGTTGATTCTTTCTGCAGTACCACACTGGTTTGACCACTTCAGCTTTATAGTAATTTTTGAAGTCAGGTAGTGTCAGTCCTCTGACTTGGTTATTTTTTAATACAGGCATCACTCGGAGATATTGTGGGCTCAGTTCCAGACCACGGTAAGAAAGCAAATATTGCAATAAGGTGAGTCACATGAATTTTTTGTTTTCCCAGTGCATATAAAAGTTATGTTGAGAGAGTGATGACAGCACCATGGTGGAGTGAACTTGCCCAGGACTGTCTCCCCCCCCAACATACAACAAAAAGTGACATCCGTACTCCAACAGAAGACATCATAACAACACGAAAACCTCGGAGAGACATGCAGCCACACGACAGAGTGCAGAGAGGCTGGAGTTCCCCTTGGAGGAGCTGGAACAGTGTAAGAGAGAACTTCACTCCCTCCCCCAAAGACTGGGATTGCTGCTGCGGGCGGATCCATGAGGGAAGGAGCGGGCGAGGGGTCGCTCATTTGGAGGATCACCCAGGACTCCCACGGGCCCTTGCTGCCTAGAGGGAAGCCTTCTAACGGGGTGAAAGCCTTCACACGGGGTGACCTCATCAAGCCAAGACACCAGGAGACCAGATAGCGACAGCTGATCGAGAAATCCCAGAGTGCATGCGGGAGACAGCACCCCTCCCCCGACCCGCTCAGCGTGGCTCCAGCCCCTGGGATCTCAGCTGAAGGTGGAGGGCTCAGAATACGAGGCTCTCAACCCCCACCCAATGGCAATAGGTGGTAACTGCAACCGAATACTATCAGAATGAGAAAGCCCTGACCTTCCAACATCAGACACTACATCAAATCTCCAGACCGGAGACAAAACGGCAAGCCCCCAGAACTCAGCCCTAAGGACACAGAAATATATAAGCTAAACGACAATGAATTCAAAATAGCTATCCTCAAAAAACTCAATGAGGTAAAAGAGAATGTGGAGAAACAATTCAATGAGTTTAGAGGCTACTTCACAAAAGTGACTGCAACTGTAAAGAAGAATCAATCAGAAATATTAGAGATGGGGGCCGGCCCAGTGGCGGAGCGGGTAAGTGTGCACATTACACTGCGGCAGCCCAGGGTTTGCCGGTTTGGATCCCAGCTGCGGACATGGCACCGCTTGGCAAGTCGTGCTGTGGTAGGCATCCCACATATAAAGCAGAGGAAGATAGGCATGGATGTTAGCTCAGGGCCAGTCTTCCTCAGTAGAAAAATAAAAGAAATATTAGAGATGAAAGACACAATGGAAGAGATAAAACAAAATACGGATTCCCTCAATGCTCGTGTGGACATCATAGAGGAGCATATCACCATAATCGAAAATAGATATGTTGAAATGCTCCAGACAGAGGAGGAGAGAGAACTAAGACTAAAAATGAATAAAGAAAGTGTCTGAGAAATATCCGACTCAATGAGGAAAGGCAACATAAGAATTATAGGTCTTCAAGACGGTGAAGAGAATGAGAATGGAGCAGAAAGCGTGTTCAAAGAAATGATAGCAGAGAACTTCCAAAATCCAGGGAAAGAGAGGGAAATCTGTGTGGAAGAAGTTTCCAGATCTCTTAGATTTGTCAATGTAAAAAGACCGACTGCAAGGCGTATAGTAGTACAACTGGCAAAAATGAATGACAAAGAAAGAATACTCTGGGCAGCAAGGCAGAAGGAAATAACCTACAAAGGAACCCCTATCAGGCTTTCAGTGGATTTCTCTGCAGAAACCTTACAAGCTAGGAGAGAATGGAATGACATATTCAAAACTTTAAAAGACAGGAATCTTCAGCCAAGAGTACTCTATCCAGCAAAAATATCCTTCCGATATGATGGAGAAAATAAATGTTTCTCAGACAAACAAAAGCTAAGGGATTTTGTAGCCATGAAACCCGCCCTTACAAGAAATCCTCAAGAAGGCCCTCATACCCGAAAAAGGAAAAAAAGAGAGAAAGTGGTCACAAAATACAGAGTAAGGAGATACATGGGTAGACAGAATCAGAATAGGATGGCAAATATTCAACTATAGCTTTCGGCTAAAGGGAAGGAAAACACCAAAAACAAAGACAATTTTGTCACTTTAACCACAAACTCACAACACAAGATGGAATAAGATATGAGAAAAACAGCTTAGGAGGGGAAGAGGAAATGGACTGAATCGGTTTAGACTAA